GGTCTCAAAGGATGCGTGTATCCAGAGCACTTATGGACATTTTTCATATTAATAGAACTTGTGAATAAATTTTGATACAGTTTACAATGGTTGAGTACTTTATATTAAGACGATTAAGTCCATGTCACCACGTCTGATAAGTATCTAACGAGTTTGCATCTTGACAATAGCTCTGCAACGGCCCCCCAGTAGCACAGTGGTATGTCTGCGGACGTACAACGCTAGAAACCGGGTTTCGATACCCGTGATGGGCAGAGCACAGGTAGCCCATTGTGCAACTTTGTGCTTAACTTAAAAAAGAAACCCTGCAAGTTTGATTCTGTTGCAAAAGACACCATCACAAGGCCTTAAAGTCTAAAGTATACCACTCCTTCCTGCATAATTTTAATAATCCATTTAGTTTATAAGGCCATTGGTGGCCCAGACCTCGTTTCAACAGTGCAATTGCACAGAAGTCAATCAGTGCTGCATCTGGCGACTTAACTTGTATATCTAGTACGTAATGACATGAATACCCGTTTTCTTTTCCAGCTGTTTGAAATATGCAAAAGTTGAATTGATATGACATGGAAGCAACTTGTGTACACGTCACCTGTGTATCTATCGTCAGATGGAGAGCCTTCTGGATTATGTAGCAGACTATTGCCTGGGACATGTAGATGGCTTTTACCATTGACTTTTGAGTTCGTGAATTCTCACAAGTTACAAGACGTTGCACTTTGTTTATTACAACTTGGGTATGCCTTGTTGCGGTCTCTTTCTCGATGTTCTTGGTGTCCCAAGTTGATACATATTCCTTTGTTTTCTAATAAAGCATAGTATAGGAATATGCTCATCTAGGACGTTCTAAGTTTGGTATGAAAACATCTTTATGATATGAATGTATGAATGTTTTGCATCAGAAAGAGCTGTTGCATACCTTTGCCGAAAGCGAATTAGCATCGCATTACATGTAACGCCAATCAATGTCAAAATGTTATTATACATGCCATTCCATCGCAATTTTATATCGGCTGTTTGTGTCACGTGATTTTCTGATTTGCATATTAAAATCGTTTATATATGTTGTACTCAACCCTCTGTATAGTGCTCACTATAAAAGTACACTACTCCAACAGATACAAATTTGCGTATCAGTAAATGCACACTTTATCCATCGTGAAAATCTAAAACGTTTTCCTACGGGGCCGTTGCCCCTTAGAATCACATTATAGAGGATTCAAAACCCCCTTATGAAATCGTTTTTTTTTCTCTCCCCGTCTTCTTCCCAACACAAACTAATTCCCACGCCTATGCAGCTTGAACAATCAAACACGTGTCCAAGACACAGCCTGTCTTCTAACTTCACGAGGTAGTTGTACAGCACTAGAAAATGAAATATAATTCTCAATACACAACTGACCCATGTTATTCTGACACCAAGCATAGAAGCTACAGCCTAAAGTTATGTTTCATATAATCATAATGAATGTCAGGGTTTCCAAGCAACTTACAGTAACATAAAGTGTACATTTCTTTAGCATATTGTTATTTATACAAAGGAAGAACCAACCATCCACAAATGTGTGCAAGAAGTTATGATCATGTAGGCGTGAATGTAACAGCTCGATTCTGTATTTGTATTTAAATGCGTGTTTGCACATGTGTACTTATATTCATGAGTTCGCAATACAAAAACAGTGATTTCATTAAGCACCTGAGGAAGGGCGTTCTGCCCTCAACATGGTGTAAATAGATACTTTTCTAAATAGTATTAACATTCTATGTTATTTCCTACAACAGTGTTATTTAATATGTTGTTCACTGTGTTTCAGTGCGCATATTTGCTTTTGTAAATATGTATAAATGCGTGAATTCTTCAACATACTACGTTTTTCAAGATCTTCATGGAATTTCAAATATTGATTTAGCATGTTCTTCTGGAAAATTCGATCCTATTATTCATTTTATTACATTATCACTGAAATTTCCTTCAACATTTGTTTTCGACCATAATACTATCATCACCTCTTTTTCTGCTTTTATTCGTATACATTATATAGGTGTTGGGCATGATTATTACTGAGATAAATAATGAGCTTCTTTAACCATCAGACAATTTTACAAATTTCATTTCAGACTTCAAAACTCATAACTGTTTATATATATTTTAGTTCCTAATTTCAAAACTTGTTATTGAAAACTGTGGACATTTATCTAAAGCTAAGTTTAGATAAGTTACTATTGACTTAAAGATGCTGAACTCGTATCTGTGCATTGTGAAAAGTCCAAAGTTGAACTGCCTGACCTTCGAGGAGACCAAGATTAACCGGTGTTTTGCTACCGATTATTCCAACGCATAGATATTTTTTAATCACCAAACCAACCAGGCTGTTTTATATCTAATTATCTCACAGTTTCAGAACTGTAAAGTTTGTCTCTTTTAATAACTTTAAGTAAGTATCTGAATGTTTATCAGTAGATTATGATAAACTTTGGTTTTCAAAATAGTATCAAGTTTTTATAACTTTTATTATTATTAGGTATTAAAAATTGTAAAAACAATAAAAAAACTCAACTGGTAAAGCTCATTCTCCTGAAGAAGAATAGTCAACTATTCGAAAGCGCTCGAGTTTTGGGTCTTATTTTAAGTTTATAGGCACAAGATATATAGATATAGATCACAAAATATAGATATAGATATCAAGATATAGATCACAAAATAGAGATATAGATCACAGAATATAGATATAGATCACAAAATATAGATTTAGATCACAAGATATAGATATAGACCACAAGATATAGATATAAATCACAATATATGGATATAGATCACAAGATATAGATATAAATCACAAGATATGGATATAGATCACAAAATATAGATATAGATTACAAAGAAAAGTTTAAGATCAATTGTATTCTCTAGCTTTTGTTCATTTTTTAACTAATATGCCTCAAAATGTAACGTATCATTTTCGTTTATCTTGTAAGTAAATTTAATAGAAATCTAGACTATTTAGATAACAATCAAACTTTGTTGACTCTTCTATACCATGTCGCCAACACACGACGGTGTCATCAAAATATCTAGCTTCTGGTTTCAAATTAAACTTATTTTTGTAAATCACTAAGTAACGGTGGCAATGGGAATCCCATAGCTAATCCTTCATTCTGTCTGTAATATTTGTTATTAACGTGAAAAAATTCGAATATTCTACACAGTTTTTAGCGGATTGATAATGTTTATAACTTCTGATGATGGAACTATATTTTATCTTAATTTATTTTCAATAATATCAATCAATAGAAAGTTGGATCGAGACTTTCGCAAATAAAGAAAACGCATCAGTTGAAACAATTAAATCATTTTCCGGCCCTACAGTGGCACAGTTTTAAGTCTGCAGGCTAATAACGCTAAAAAACGGCTTTCGATACCCGAGGTGAGCACAGCACAGATAGCCCACGTTGTTGCCTTGTGTTTAACTAAAAACAATTAATAAATTTCCTCTAAAGTTATTTATTTAATTATTTCTACAAATTGTACAGATCTTTTTCATCATCACTTTATTTCCTTGTTTTAAAAATGCAAATTGATTTAGAGATAAATTTAGCTACGTTGTATGTTAGTGCAATTAAATTAGATAACACAGTCTAAGCTATCGTCGATTTTATAAACCTTAGGAACTGCGTAAAAACTTGGTGTTATAAAATCTGAGCTTATTAACTCTTTTCTTGTGGGTTAAATACATATAGTTTTTAACTTTATCAACTCATGTAACTTACTGATAAGGTTTTTCAATTATTTCATGAGGACTTTCTTATAATGGTTCTTCAATTTATTTATCACCACACTTTGTCAATCTTTTTGCGATTTACAAACCACAATATTGTTATTCTTTAAAAAACTTATTATTCCTGTTTTTTGATTCAAACTAAGGTTTGGTTATTGTTAAGCAAAACCATACACAATGAGCTATTTGTGCTCTTCTCATCACAGGTATCGAAACCCTAATTATAGCTCGTAAGCCTAGAAACTTACCGCTGAGCCACTGAAGGGACTCAATCTAGGAACAACCTTCTTTACTCAGTTATAACTATCTCACCTAAAAGCATTAGCCTTATTCATATAATTTATTTTAAACAGATTTGTTCCACTTTCTATTATAATATCTTATTCTTGACAACTTACAATTCCACGTGCAAAACCTTAGCCTTTATTTAAAATTTCTATTTGTTTAGCATTTAATATAACATTTGATTTATTTACAATTTTCTAAATATTTCTTAAATAGATCAGGTAGAGAATCTAAGTTAAATTGGTTACTTTTCTTTTCTTATTGTTAGTATAACACAACATGTGATCCAATAGGTAAATAATATTTTATTAGCTCAACCTAAAAATATCAGTAACAGAAATGTTCGTGAAACGTTGAGGATAATTAAGTTTCAGATAAGTAATGAGCATGTAATAAAAAAGGACAATGAATTAATGGAACCCTCTCCAGTGGTTCAGCGGTAATCCCGAGGGCTCACAACACTAAAAATCGGGTTTCGATACCAGCTGTAGACAGAGCACAGATAGCCCATTGATTGTGTATCTCTGTGCTTAACAACAAACAATACAAATTAATGGGACAGAATGTAAGTAGATGGAGCGATATTCTGCAGTAAACATTTAAAATAAGATATCACTTGGTTTAATAGAAGGTCTTGTAAATTACACTCTTGAAGATAACGCTTCGAAGCTTCGAAAACACGCAGAGTCGATCTGAGACTTTAGATCATTGTAAAACAAAAATATTTTATTGTGTAAAACAAAAACGTTTGTTGTTTAATTTTATTTATGATTCAACACAAGTGTTCATAGACAAATTTCAGCAATTTACTTTGTTGTAATGATGCAAAGATATATTTATTTTGCTAACTAAATATGTATACTTTCTCTAGCATTAAGAGCTCTATTACAAGGTCACGTGTAGCCTATTGAAAAACGTGAAAATGTTGACATTTCAGGATCTTCTAAAATTAGAAACTGTTAGATAGTATCTCCACTTCTCAGTAGCTTCTCTACTGACCAATGAAATTGAAGAATATGTATATACACACACATATATATTTCATGCACATTTTCCATGAGCTTACAGAATACTGGAAGTAATTTTAATCAGGTAAGTTTTAAATTAGGCAATATGAAAGATGGAGGTAAACCACCTTTTCTTATCTACCCTCTGTAAAGCCTATCTACTATCAAATACTATTATATGTTAAGATAATGTCAGTTTAAATCGTTTTATTTTTGGCGATAAGTCCTTTAGAGAAACATTTTTATAAAAATACTAATAATGCTAATTTAGAACAACTCTCTTACACACTTTTAAAGTAAATGTTTGGTGAAGAATTTATTCTTGGTTTTTTTAAAGCAAAATTAAGGTGAGTACTTAATAAGCTTGTTTTATTATTAGTGTTTTAGTCTTATTCTAATAGCGATAGTAATTTAAAACCCATACATTATTTAATTAGTTGTGTTTTAGTCTTAATCTAATAGCGATAGTAATTTAAAACCCATACATTATTTAATTAGTTGTGTTTTAGTCTTAATCTAACAGCGTTAGTAATTTAAAACCCATACATTATTTAATTAGTTGTGTTTTAGTCTTATTCTAACAGCGATAGTAATTTAAAACCCGTACATTATTTAATTAGTTGTGTTTTAGTCTTAATCTAATAGCGATAGTAATTTAAAACCCATACATCAATACGGTTTTTCTCTTATACTTGATCAGTGATATCCTTCAACCGCTATGTTACGAAGCACATTTAACAAACAAATTCGATAATGAATATGGTGAATATGGTGATAGTAAAATGCAGGGTTGGTATAGACTGTTACCTGTATATACGTATTAACAAATTGTATATTTCAGTTAATCTTAACGATGAATTAGTTTAATACACAGTCATGACGACGATCTTACAAGACCGTAAATATTTTAATGAAAGATAACCCAACTGATTATCCTGAATTCTGGTAATGAAAATTATCTACATAACAATGTAAATTACACGGTAAAGCGGCTGTATGTTACAATATCTAAACTATTTTTTTCAGAAATAACAATGAAAATTGTCTACAGTTTATTGGTCCTCTTCTTCTTTCAATGGGAGTATTCCTCCTCAGAAGGGTTTTTCATAAAAGTATCTAAATCGGTTCATGGACTGGGGCTTCTGAGACACGCGGCTTACTATAGAACTTACTACTTTTCTTATGGGTTTTACCCTATTTATCGCAATGGTTACTACTATCGTCATCATCATGTTTGGAGAAGAAGCACAGAAGAGGAAGTAAAAAGTGGCCAAGAGGTTCTGTCTATTCAGGAAATCTTCAGGGATATATCAAGTAACGACGAATACCAGTGTTTGATTCGAATGATGTGTGAAATGGGAATAAACCCATACACATATGGACAGTTTGGAGTGGATATGTCCAGTCTTTTGAGGTAGTGTACCAAACGTTATTTAAGAAACATTACTATAAAATTGTAAATTAGTAAAACTACAGCCTTAAAAAAAGTTATGTATGAGGAATTGTAGTGTGAGAAACTTTAGTATTTGATCTGTAGATAAATACACGAGATAACCCGCTCTCAAATCGATTAGAAAATTTCATTTTTGTAGAACTTAAGCTTAAAATTAAACACGTAAATGTCTTAGCAGAGATATTTCTTATATCATTAATTTTAGCTAAATCAAAGATAATTGGTTCCACATTCCAAAACATAGAGTAATACATTTTGACAGTCAGGTGAATATTTCAGTTTTAATTAAAATTGATATTCTGGTTTTTTAGTATCATACTTCGTTGAGTTGACTCCACTTATGTTTTCTATTTCCTACTTAGAAACGTATATGACCCTGACCCAAATTACCAGAAATATCAAAACAGTTTCTTACTGGGTGACAGAAGCAAGTCTACCGCCATCTGTACAGATAATTTTCCAACATGCACAGCTACATCAGAAGAGCTACGTATGTACGCAACAACTGATTAAACAAAGTGTTTTTTCTTTAAGTTTCACCAGACTAAATAAATGTTTTATAAGAAACTAGTTTGGAAAAACTAGAATATTTAGCCATTGAACAAACAGATAAGTGGATAAAGGATCCTGTTTATTAACCATCACAAAATATACAAAAATGCTTTCATCATGAGAAGATTCTAAAGATTTTTGCTTATTAATTATATATAACTTTAATGAAGAAAAACCTATAGACACTCAAGGAAGACTCGTCAATAGTAATTCATATTCACTTTAGATTCTTCATTTGTCTGTTTAAACACACAAAAGTGTCATAAATACGTTATTAAGGATAATAAAAAGATTCCCAAAATTTCGCGAACTTAAAATGTGACATTTTTCAATAATGACGAAACTAATAAATACATTTTGTATTATACTGATTTTTAATTCTAATTATCTTGTAGCTTGTTTCTCCTTCACAAGCATACACAGATATTGCATTGTTCTCAACTAAAATGAACTTATAACGTCAAGTAGTGCTAGTATATATACTTCCTAACAAATCGCAAGTGTTAATAACTTTGTAGGTTTCAGACGTTCTAGTACATAAGGGCACAAATCTTTTCTTATAGAAATGGAGAAAAATTAATTCATGGCTTCTACTTTTATTTTTTAACTAGCAAAAGTTTGAAGTACTGAAAAGTACTGAAGTTAGGAGGAAAATTTTTCTTTCTCTTTACGATTTATTATGGTAGTTGTAGCCTTAAACTCTAGTTATTTCCCGCTTTCACTAAATAATTAGGTCACATTCTACACATTTGAACACTTTCAACACCAGTGAAGTCTTTAAGCAACAGACCATTTTATTATTAATTAATAAGAAATTTCGAGTGAAGAAAGAGAAGAGGGTAAAATATTATCTCAACCACACTATATCTGCTATATCCACTACCAACGAGACCTTTCTTTCAATACCAGGGCTCTACAAGCAGGAAGAATACAACAGACACAGTATTGGTTATCATAATTTGCTTGATGATATTTTGCCTATAAAGTGCCCTCAAAAATTTTGGAGCCAATATATCACTGTTAAATAACTTTTCGACATTATCTCCAGTCCATTAATATTTGTAAACACTTTTTTTACTCAAATGTGGCATGGCTAATAGGCAAATTAGCATTACCATCAAATTGAGTGCAACGTATTCAATAAAAGCAGGAACTCAAGCTAGTGAACACTATATTATCTTTACAGCCAATCATACAATCGCACAATTTGATGATTTTTGTTATACTGGTTCCTGTGACATATTTACTTGGTCAACCAAAGATGATTTTCTACATTGTTATCAACATATTTTAAAACAAACCGTCCATTCTTCGTGAAATCAGTACACAGTTAATTAGTTTAAGATGTTCTTATGGTTAGGTAAGCAAATAAAATAACTTTCTGTTATTTGCAAAATCCAGTCAAGACATATATCCAACAAACAGTATTTTCTATGGATACAGTTTTCTGCTAATTCTAATCCACCCATTTTAGCATGGTATTGTTGGTGCATAGCTGGCGCAAGAGCTGTGGGTTGTTGAGCTCAAATAGAATCTGTCACAAGGTCTCTCAGAGATTCCTGTCATGATAAAAGTGACCTCAAGAAACTAGCACCTATGGTCTATCGGACATTCCATCATGAGGCAAGTAACCTCAAGAGACCAGCATCTATTTCTACACCACTGATGACTCGGACTGAGAACGTTGATGGAACATATGTAACCCTGTTGAATTTTATAATTTCTAAATCTTATTTATGCCAAGATAAATACATTATTATGACAACGTTTATTTTATGTATGATCTGTTAGATCTATTGAACGAATTCAGTTAAAATTATAAAAATCCAGTTGTAGGCTCTTTACTCGTGCTATACTACCTATTCCTTCGTCACAAGGATCTAAGGTCTTCTCTATTAAAATTCATGTTATAGATAATTTTTCATTCTTCTTCTTCTTTAAACTTAAATCTCTATTAACAGTATAAGACATTTGTAAAAGAGAACATCATATAATTTTGATAATGAATATAAATCTTTAATTGAAATCCTTACATATTATCATTCATTAAAACGATTACTTCCTATTTGGCCACTCAATCCCAGTGCATTAAACAAATTAATTGTCATATAATATGGAATTTTATTTTTATAATGAGTATTTTATGGTGTGTTGTTTCTCATTACTACACAAACATTTAAATTCGCCAAATTAAGAGCATAGTTGATTCTTACGTTAGGTATAAAGAAAACATAAAATGTAACAACATTGATTCTATGTTTATTACAGAATAATTTAGAACCAATACAGGGATATCGTGTAGTACCACTACTCGCTTTACGACTTATATAATTCTTGCTAACCCTAATTTCAATGCAAACTTATATACGCGTGTAAAAGTGTAGACTATCAACGTTATCCAAAATACCTGAACTCAGTTTCCTTTGTCTTAAAAAAAAAGAACTTTTTATTTCAAACCATGTGGTAAGCTTCCCAGAAACTTTTCAGATAATGAGATAAAAAAATTTATGAGACGTAAATGATATACACATTGTTATGGTTCGTCTGCTTCCGATACCACTTTGTTATTATGAGTGTTGTTCTCGCATATGATACAATTGTCCCATTACTTCTCCATCTCCTGCATATGTCACTGTAACTATTTTCGTGTACTGAGTCCAGTACCACAACTATCTGATTCACTTTACTTTCTCATTCTCTAGCATTCTGTTCATAGTGAAGCTTTTGCTTATCCTTACCCTTCTGAGTAGTAGCTTTAGCTTTGTCTCTGGATCAACTTATTTTAAGTAAGTCTAGTGGGCCCTTATCATATCTATCACATAGTAACTCAAAAGGTGAAAATTCTGTTGTAGCTTGGTGTACTCTCAATATGTAAATGGCACAAATGGTGATAAAATATCCCAGTCAACAGGATCTCCTGTACCATTACTCTTATCATGGCCTTAATGGTCCCATTCGATCTACCACACATCTCATTTTTTGGGGGTCTATAAGGAGTCAAGTGTGTTTCATTTTTACTCTTGTGGCCTTCCATAAGTCTCGCATTATCTTTGATCCAAAATTGCTATCTACATCTGATAAGAATTCTTCAGGAAACCCGACCAGTGAGAATTGCACAATAAGCCCTCACGCTATTTTCCCTGCTTCCATAGAACCTAGTGTTACTGCCTCTACATAACTAGTGGCAAGATCAACTACTGTCAGAATATATATTTATTCCCTTGATCTGTTACTGGAAGTAGTCTGATAATATTGGCTAAACTAACTATCGTTCGTTTTACTTAAATGCGCCTCTTGCCAGCTAGTTGAAATGTTGGAAAGATATTCATATAAGTCTTTATGTCTCCAAACATTCCCGACCAGTAGTAGTTTTTACTGATCCTATCTTTTGTTTTAGCTACACCTAAATGTCCAGTCAATATTGTATCATGTCCTAACTTTAATACAATCTGTCTACATTCCTTTAGGAGTACAATTTGATCCATACCACCTATTCCATCATTCCCATAACAGTTACGCTTCAACACTCCTTCCCACCATTAATAATAATTTACCCAAGTTTAGTTACTTCGGGTTCCTCGACCACAGTTTCACTGTGGCATTTATGCATACTCTCTTGTAACCGTCACTTAATTTTTCGTTCTCATCCATATTTACTTGTCAGAGTTTTTCAAAGTGTGGGATGCGATCCCGCCCACTTTGGGAGGCGTAAAAATTATCTCTTGGGGAGCACGAGCAATTAGGATAGAGCCAATAGTGCAATAATGCAAAATTGAATATTTTAACATATTTTTGTTAATGAAAATAATAAATGATTACCACGGCACATATAACATTTTAATGTGTATCAGTGTATTATATCTCGTCACTGAACTCACTTTTTCACTAATTTAAAAAAAAGAGGGAGCGCGCAAGAAACGATGTTTATTAAAAGGGGCGTGAATGGTTCACTAACTCCTACCCCTGTTTCAGAGTTTTCTAATCTGTCTACTTTGGCTCTATGTTATTTGCTTATTTGTTTGTGGTAATGAGTTCTACCTCAACATACTTTATTTCCTCGTCACTACATATTCATACGCTAACGCCTCTGTCTCAAGTGTGTTGGTTGGTTTCCTATTTTGTAGCTATATTACTTTCTGCATTTGTAATTTTGTCAACATTTGTTCTTGCAACATTAAATGTACAACTTTGTCAGCGTCTCCAGTACAGTTAGATCATTTAATCCATTTAACTAGCAACTTATACAGCCTTTTTCCATACTCTTTTAAATGTCTCATTTGCCATATTTTTTCTAACTCTCTGAACTTCATACAATAAATAGCTAACTACATCCTACGTTAATTCACCTGCACTCACAATCTTATTTTCTACTTCTGACGTCTTTCCAGGTAATGCAGGAAGTGGCTGCTATTCCATTTTTACATCATTACAGAAAAAGTATATCTATATCGATTTTGTAAACTTTAGACAACTGCATATGGGTACTTCTTTTATACATGTTATCCCTGCTTTCCACTCATCATCAACTCTAGCTCTAAACGTTTTTCTCAGCTTTTGCTTCCAAGCTTATTTCATTCTTAGCTTCTAAGCATTTCATTTCTAACTGTATCTTAGCTAATTCTAACTGATTACCTTGATAACTTTCGCAAACATTACTCGCAGTTCCCGTATTTCTACTAAGCTCAAGGTTAAACAATCATCTATTGTGACTTCCACCTCAATTAGATATTTTTTTTTAAATTGTTACTATGCGTTATACCCAATTCTCTACGTTTATTTATCAACTGACTTTTTGTCAGTGATTTCCAATTCTCATTCACACTAGCGTTAATTCCATACTCTTAAACAATGAGCCACAGAACTTATAACTAATAAGAGTAAACTGAACCACCATGAAAACCAAATCAGACAAAATAACAACAAAAAGGAAACTTTCATCCAGTTCACTTTCTTCCTCGGCTTTT